CTAAAATTCATGTACACTTGTATTTTCTTGCAATTTTTTTCATTTGTAAGACTATGAATAATTTATCTTTAATACTTTGCTCTATTATGATAAAGGAATAGAGAACAAGTTATTTTTTTGTCTATTACAGATAATTTTTGAAGCATAAAAAAGTATGCTTTTTTGAAGCATGAAAAGAAGATGCACACATCAAAGTTTACATATAATCACATCAGACAGATCTGTCCATGTAGTATAATGTTCATTGGGCATGTCTGTTTATTCATTCTTTTTTTGGCACTTTGGGTCATTTTGCACATGGAAGCTTTAGCCATACTACCTGCAGTTTCTATTGTTTTCTCAGCAATACAGATTATCTTTAAATAATAGTTACAAACCTTAGGTTACCTCCAACAGCTTCAACGCCACGAGTAATTTTGAAGGAAGAGGCTCCCTTAGTAGTCTATAAAAACACAGAAGTTGTTTTTACACATTTAGGTACTCCAAGAACAATTTTATTTGCATCAGGTTATTAAATATAATTCTAGGCACAACATTAGATATTTCCAGTCTGTTTACCAAGAAATATTTTTTTCATTTTCTTGTGTGTACTAACACGTTTTCATAATCTTGAATTTTTAGCCAAATAACTAAAATTAACATGCTGTTAAAAAGATGTTAGTTTTATCGAACACACTTAAGCAGCGGGAGATAGCTAAAACAGCATGGGCAGTATTAAGTCTATAACTATAATTAATAACCAGGTCAGTACTCTAAAAAGATGGTTTCATCTACAACCACAGATATGCCTATTCACTAATCAGTTCACTAGGGAGTGAAACTGAACTCAGTAAGACCTCATAAGGCACCCCAGAGTTTAAGATTTTCTTATCAGTAAGAAAAAGTTTATTTGGAAGTCAATTAAATAGTAAATACATATTAAGCATTCAATTTATCTTTTACTGCATTCTGTGTGTAGCCTCATTAAAAGATTGGTGCAATCACTCAATTTCGTACAGAGCAACACTGAATTAATGTATCAATGGTTGTGGCTGTTTGAGACAAATTTCTGACTACTAGAAAGTATGGATCATAAATTCATTTCTCCCAGACAACTAATGTCATCATATGGCAACAGTTTTTTCACTAGCCACCTGTGTTCTATATGAACCAAGAAACCAGAGGTGGAATGATACATCATTATCATTCACTTAAGCAATCCAGTACCCATAGATTAATTTTAATTACGTGGATTTCTCTAAAAGATCTCAAGCATTTCATCATTTTACCTATCTTCAAAGAATTAAATAGAGGAAAGATACCTACCAAGTTTGATGCAAGACGGAGCAAATGGGAGGTTCCCAAATTGTTGGTGGTTTCATATCTGCTACCTGCTTTAATGAACACACCAATTCTTGAAGCAGGGGAATAGTTTTCCAGAGATGCAATCACTAAACCATTAGGTAATTTTGCGATCTGTATTATAAAGAAAAATAAAGACCTATTACGGTTTAGTGGTCCATTAAAGATACACTCACCACACTATTCCTTTGTGATCTGATTCAGTCCAATTAAAAAAAAAAAAAAAAGTTAAAAATATCCATTTGCACTGACCTCGAGATCCTGTGGCTGTAGACGTAACTTTCCTCGCTCTGCAGTTGCTGATGCTTCAACTTTGGGAGCAACGTTGAGAGAATAAAACCTCTTCTGAAACAGAAAATAACATCAGGCAAGATTCAAGAGGTACTTATATCTCCTTTCAAATTATATATCACTACAGTATCTAACACATTAAGCAATGATTCATAACATACAATGGTTAATGTATTTCAAAACTGTATGGCAGAATGGCCACCACATCTTTTACTCCCTGGGGGTTTAATCTGAGCAGTTTCACATTCCTGTTGGAGCCCATTCAAAATCACACAGGTGAAGAACTACAAATTTAAGAATTACAAAATTAGTTCTACAGTCTCAGACTACTTGTGACCTTGATTATTATCACAGATGCCATATTGCACTGTTGTATTAAATATTTAGTTACATGAAAATTATATAACATACTCTGTGGTCACTACTGCAACTCACCAAACAATTAATCACATGGAATTTAACTAAAATCTAATATAACATGTGAAAGTGATGCTCTTAACTCCTTGGTACAAGTGGCCCTACCCTTAGAGCAGCACCTACCAGCAAATTGACCCACCTTCACTAATAAGTGCATAGACGACATATCGACTTTGAACAAAACATTCTCAAACTTTTTTAGCTGAGCCCCCCTTCGGAAATTCATTTCCTATATATACCACCCCCACCCCACCCCCCGTATATCCGGGGGGCTAGTCACCGTGTGGCAATCAAGAAAGCCTTCTGTTCCCTGCAGTAGCCCTGTTAGCCCCCACGGCTTCCCTAGCACAGGCTTTGTCTGGTAGGGTCAAGAGAGGGTTCTGTCCAGCAGGGGGTCAGCAGTCCGGGGTGGGGGGCCTGGCAGCCTCTCCAGCAGAGAAGGATATCTGCTGTTGCACAGCGAGAAGAGCAGGAAGCCATGGACAGAGCCCCCTCCTGACCCTGGCCCTTCAGCATACTCTGTCAGGTTCTTGCACCCTTAATAGTCTTGTGGTGTCCCCTCCCCCGGGGAGCACATCCCACTGCTTGAGCGCCTCTGGGTTAGACTCAGGACTGCAAAGAAACTACAGCAGTAGTCAAAAGTCAGAAATGGAAGGCCTCCAAACTGAAGAGAGAGACAATGACATAAGAGCATCCCACACAGCCTAAACTCCCCAAACCAAGAAGTATAATCAAACTTCAAGTGTGAAACATTATTACCCGCTTCCTCACATATTAAGTCTACTTTTCATATAAAGATTCACTTTCTCCCCAAAACCTGAGAGTAACAAGTAAAAATTAAGTGACATAAAAAAAATAAACCAATCAGACATGTTGAGGATCTGATAGAATTTTTAGGCCATTAACTTAAGTTACCCTATTAGTTACCATGTCTTTCTAGTTACACTATTACATGCTTTTCACTTAGTGACAGGTCTGGTTAATATATTTTGAAGCTACTAGTATTTCAATATAGGTTTTTATCACCACAAAGGTGATAATTACTTAATCTCCAGACTCTTTCCTACTTTGAGTCAGTAGTACAGACATGTCTACAATTTATACAGAAAAATACTAGGGCTCCCAAGATATTTATTAGCCTACCTGTGCCACTATCTGCAACGGAGAAGGCGCCTTGCCCAGTAAGCCCTCAATAATGATTAGAGTTTTTCCAGTACGTGCCTGACACAAGTCAAGTCCAACAGCAAACGGGCAGGCTAAGGCACTAACAAGGGGAGGCTGCAGGTTTAAGGGCCCTGCAGGGAATAACGCTGGCTAGGGAAGGAAGGAGATCCCGTCCACCTGCCCCCCGAGGAATTCCTCCTCCCACACCTGCTCACTACGCGGCTCCCACGGGAACTCGGAGCGGGGCCCAGGTTATCCAGCCCGGCCTCCCCCAGCAGGGAACAGGCTGCTCGTTTCCGGGAGGGAGAAGGGCAGGTAGTGGGTCCCTACGGGAGCCCCAGGGAAGCTGCTCTGGCCGGGGACAGGCGAGGACTCCCACCCGCCGAGCGAGGGCCGAGTGCCGGGCTGGGGCCGAGGTGACCTTCAGACGCTCAGCCCCGCTCCCTGCCCCGGACACCCGGCACCGCCGCGGGTTCCGCTCCATCCTCCCACACGCCCCTGCCTCGGTCTCAGCTCCACGCCTCAGCAGAGAAGGGGGCTGCCCTCGGTCCCCTTACCCGACAGCAAGGCCAGGGTCAACCCCGCCTGGCCCGGACCCAGCCCCCTTCCAGGTGCAGGGACTCCTCGCTCTGCCCCCCTCCCCCAACAGAGGCCGCCCCCCATCCCGCCGCACTCACCGAGAGGGAACGCGCGATAGTCGGGATCCCCTTCATCCTCTCCGTGCCGCTCCCGCAGCTGGCCCCGGTGCCCGCTCAGAGAAACAAGATGGCGCCACCGGAGGACGACTCTGCCTTCCCAGCATACACCGCGTCGCTTTGACCTTCTAGCTGTTGGCGACCAGCCTCTACTGCTCCCTGCTCGGGATTGGACGAGACACCTAGACGGTCCTCTTTCACTGCTCGGTCAGTGCGTCCGAATGGTGTGCGGCGTGCGCCTGCGTGGCGGCGCAAAGCCCCTCCCACTCCTTCTAGTAATTCCCACGGCTCTCCGTCGGTCCCCGCCTTCTCTTGAGGCGCGCCCCCTACGGGGTGCAGGCCAGGGCTGTGTGTGCGCTGTGCCCAGTGATCGGTTCTTGTTTGGGGGGATTGTGCGGCGCATGGATGAGCGGGGGCTGTGCCCTGCGGTTAAATAAATAGCCATCACAAATCCCGGGTTCTCCCTTTTCATAGCTGTACTCGTACCCGGAGATTTCGTAGGATCCCTCAGTAGCTGGGGTAGGAGTGGTGACCCCACAGCACAGGGCGTGGGGTTAGTGAAGAGACGTTGCAAAAACTGGGATCCCGTGGGAAACAATATGCTCCTGTGTGGGAAACGCACTGCCCGTGCCCAGAGCGTGGAACAAACGGGCTGCAGGGCTGGGCTCAGACGGGGGCAGTTCCCACAACGGAGGTTCCCTCCATGACGCATTACGTTACCCTCTGCTCACACGCACCGTGGGTTTACCCTCTCCCGGTGGCGGGTGACCTCCCTCCGCAACGAGCGAGACACCCCACAGGAAGGGATAATAATGACTGAGAGCCGCACAATGGGAGGAGTTCCCCATAAGAATGTGTTCTTTAGAATAATGAGAAAAATGAGCCCCCCCCGTGACGTGTAGCTCTGAGATTCCCCCGCGGTGATTCCCCACTTTCCAAGATAAGGAGGCTACAGCCATAGTGATTGGGGCGTGCCAGCAGAGTCACATGCCGGCCCCAACAGGCTAGGGTGGATGCTCCAGAATGTCTTGTGCACCCACGAGGTGGCGCCCCACACGGCGCAGTTGCATCAGCCTGGCGAGAGGGGTGGCAGCGGGGGTCCGGGACAATACTTACAGCCAAGCGGGCACAAGAGGCTGCAGCCGGAGGCGCACGAGAGTCTGTGCTGCCCGTCCGGCCCGTGCGCTGGTCACCATGAGCGCTGCGCCGCCGGTTTTCCTGGGCTCCGAGGTGGTGGAGAAGCACTTGCACCGCGCCAGCCTCCTGATCCCTTCGCTGGAAGCTGCCCTGGCCAATTTCTCCAGCGGCGCGGAGGGAGGCGTCGTGCAGCCCGTGCGCACCGTGGTGCCGGTGCAGAAGTACAGCGGGTAAGTAGGGAGGGGTGCACACTCTAGGGAGCCCCATCACGGGCACTCCTCGGGGGCGCCCCTCTCGTCCTGAGCCAGAGTGGGGGGAGGAGGGGATCCCTTTCTCAGTCCCTCCCCACGGTGAGGACTTCCTTGGCTGGCCCTGCAGCTGCCGTGATATTCCCCAGTTGTGTCTGGTTAGGGAGATTTCCAGCTCGGATACTGCAATGAGAGCAACCAGGCAGGCCGAGTGCAGCGAGCTTTCCCCTCTCCTGTCATGTCCCCTGCACCCGTCTACTCCTAGCGAGCACTCCTGCAAATCGCTACAGTCTCTGAAGTGCCCAACCAGGCTGGAGCAGCAGGCAGGTGCCCCAAATTTCCTGGTGCCCTACGCAGCTGCGTAGTTTGCGTTTGGGTAAGGACGGCCCTGGCTGATGCTTCCTTCAAACGAGTTCTGGAGCTGGCTCCAAAGTCGTGCTGCAAAGGGAATGGGGAAAGTGCTTTGTGTCCTTTAAAATCGATGGTGAAGATCAGCCATCCAGGCTGTTATAAAGTGTGCCCATGGGCCGGCCCTCTACAGTACCAGGATAAAGCACTACTGTGTCCTGCACAGAGAGAGAAAGAAAGTGGGGGCTGCTAGTGTTTCAAGGATAATAGGGGGATAATAATTAGTAGGAAAAGGAGAAGACTGTGGGTGGAATCCTGGCCTCCTCTGAGTTCAAAGGGGGTTTTGCCATTGACTTCAGTAGGGCAAAGATTTCACCCTATTAGTTCTGAACTAAAGCTGTGAATAGTCATTAACAATGCCTGGTTAGGAGGAAAGTCAATGAGCAAACCATTAAAGTTAAACTGTACTGGAGAGCTGGGGTGAAATCCTGGCCCATTGAAGTCAATGGCAGAACTCCCACTGGGGGCAGATTAGATCCTTCTTTAGAAAACACATATTTAAATAGCCTAGAAAATGTCACACAATTTAGAAGTGGAGAAGAGAAAAAGTAGGGCTATAGAGAGGGTTATTTATTACATTAGAGATCAAAAGCAGTTGCTTATTAACTTCTTGCTAGTTAGCTAACAAATTACAAAATTTCATGTTAAATGTATATTTTTTTGTCTTTCAAAGATTTTTAGGGGTCATGCCTGCTTACAGTGCAAAGGACGATGCTCTAACAACTAAACTGGTAACCTTCTATGAACACAAAAAGGATTCTTCTGTTCCCTCTCACCAAGCAACTGTATTACTCTTTGACCCAAGAAATGGCTCTTTAAAAGCTGTAAGTTCGGCGTGCATTGATGCATTCTGTTTTGTTAACAGTCTGTCAAAATCATACTTCGATTTTAGATGACATAGCTGGTGTAAATCACCATCACTCCATTCACTTCAGTGGAGTTATGGCGATTTGTGCCAGCTGAGAATCTGGCCCTCAGGCTTGTCTGTTTCATTCTCTTTAATCTGTCCTTCTTTCTTTGTTCTCTGAAACTGGTGATTTGAAGTGAAACTGTTTATTTGAAGAACTCCCGCGACACCATGTTTAGTTGATATTTTTAGGGGGAAAGAATAAATTGCCAAATATTCTGAACTGTTAAAGGCAATGCAAGTTTTACTGTTGGCCTCTGTGAGAGTGGGATTGGGGGGCTGTAATAGGAATTTTGGGATATTATCTTTCTTAATTAAAAATGAGGATAATGGTTTGAGAAGGGCCAGAACAGTGAAAGTGTCTGTTTCTCAGCGAGGCTCCACAATCCATTTTCACTTGATAATTGAATATATAGAGCCAGAATCTATATAGAGCCAGTGCCCACCCAGAGTGCAGCACAAGGTAGGGGGATACTGAGTATGGCTCCATGGTGCTGGGCCCTGGCATAGGTTAGAGCAGCCTAAGGGCTGCTCAATTATATACCTGCTTACAATGGTCCCCAATGCTAGCCAGAGTGCAGTATGTTCTGGCCATGCCTTCATTGCCCTGAAACACCCCCGGTACTGGGGTCTCCAGGAAGTGTAGTGTAAAAATGTTTATGTTGGGTCGATGCCACTGTGATGATGGCCAATTTCCACTCGCTTTGTGCTGCCTGAGTGTCATGAAAGGAGTGGAGCAGGGAAGAGAATCTACCAATTTTCTATAGAATATATTTGCAAGTGTTGCATTAATAATAATCTTCTCTCAGGTTTTCCTTGTCCCTTCACATGATATATCAGTCGTTAAGCACTAATTCACACATGGAGAAAGCATCTGGCATTATGTTTTCGGTGTTCATTTCAGTCTGTTTGATTTTCTTCTTTAAAAGGTCATGGATGGCAGTGTCATTACAGCAAAACGAACTGCTGCAGTTTCCGCGATAGCTACCAAGGTAGGTCTGATGCTTTATAAAGTGGGTTGAAGTAGATTATTGGTGTGTGACAAGGCAACCCTTCCTCAGGTGCCCTCCCGCAGAATGCCGCTGCACGACCCATGAACCTGCCACAGTTACCCCTTTCATCCCTCCAGGTAATCTTTCCAGGTACCGATACCCTTTCCAGCATTTATTTATTACAAGAGTCCCAAAATTGTAATCCAGAATTCCTCAACACAGTCTCAATTCCACAGTACATCCAATCTTTCAAGTCACAACAGTCCATGAACACACCAAGTACAGCTCTGATGTCTCTCACTATGCTCAGGCTCTTGGGTACAGCTCTGGCATCTCTCACCATTCCTCATCCCAGCCCCTCAACCTGGGTTGCTTCTCTGCCCTGTTTCATTCTCAGGTCTGGCTCTGGCTCTCACCTGGAGACATCAGCAAGCTCACTGCTACATCCTCCGCCAGCCTTTATTTTTCTCTGGTCTTTCAGCTAGCAGGTGTCTCCTTCTGCCGCTCTCAGCCTTCAGCCCTCTCTATCCATGGTTCTGTGGCCTGGGGAAACTTGTATGTAATTCCTCAACTGCCTTCCACTTTCACTGGCTTGATCTGGCTCACTGCTCAACACGGAACTCACAGCTCCTTCCTTCAGGGCCAGCTCTCTTTCAGCCTCTGGACTCTCTCTTGCCTTTGGGCTGTCTCTCATAATTCCCAGGGGCAGTCCCACCCTCTTCATTACACCAAACTAGGGCACATCTGGATTGGAACAGGAGAGCTGGGCCAGTTGTCCTGTGACATGGTGTCATGTAAAATAGCTTAGAGGTCAGATGCGAATGTGATCTAAGAGGCTTTCAATCCATGCCAGTTCTCTTTAATCATAGGTACTAGATTTATGACAATGTTCAATCCTCAAAGAAAAGCCTAAAACTTGGTTGTTTCTATTTTAATTCCGAGGGAGTTGTGTAGAGTAATATAGTTTAAGGCCAGAAGGGACCACCAGATCATCTAGTCAGACCTCTTGCATATCACAGGCCACTAGCTCCACCCAGTTAACCCAGTATTGAGCCCAATAACCTGAAATAGATTGAACTATTGTTTACCAATGTGAACCAATGACCTAGCCCTCTGCAATAGCAGGGAATTGATTAGGTGAGATATCCAAGATGATCCTAGTAAGTCGCATGTCGCAGAGAAAGGCAAATAACCCCCAAGGTCCCTGCCAATATGACCTGGGGAAAATTCCTTCCCAACCTAAAATAGCAATTGATATGACCCTGAGCATGTGAGCAAGACCCACCAGCCAAGCATCTGAGAGAGAATTTTTCTGTACCACATCAGAGCACGATCCCACCCCGTCTGGTGTTGCCATCTGTGGCCATCTCCAGTGCTTTAGAGGAAGGAGAACCACTCCGCAGAATACAACAGGGAAAAAGTCCTTCCTAACCCCTACAGGTGACCAATTGAAGCCCTGCATCATGAGATTTAGGAACATAAGACATAAGACTGGAAGGGACCCCCTTTGCCATCAAGCCCAACCCCCATCACTGCATGCAACTCCATCATATAGTCCCACTCAAAAAATTATCAAGCTCTATCTTTAGACTAATTAGGTTGTTTATCTGAACAATGTCTATTGGAAGGCTGTTCCAAAACCTCATTCCTCAGATGATTACAAACTTTCTTCTAACTTCCATCCTAAATTCAGTCATGGCCAGTTTGTACCCATTTATTCTTGTGCCAACATTTTCCTTTAACCTAAATAGCTCTTCTCCCTACCTGTTGTCTATCTCCCAATGTCTTCGTAGAGAGTAATCATATCCTCTCTCATCCTTCATTTTGCTAGGCTAAACAAGCCATGCTCTTCCAGTGTCTTCTCAGAAGATAGGTCCTCCATGCCCCTGGTCACCTAGTAGCTCTTCTCTGCACCTGTTCCAGTCTGAGATCATCTTTCCTGAACATGAGTAATCAGATTTGTACACAGTATTCCAAATTAGGTCTTACTAGTGCCTTGTACAATTACATTAATACTTCTCTATCGTTACTGGAAATACTCTTCAGTGTATACACGAACGATATGCCTGAAATGATAGTGCAGAAGTTTGCGTATGCTGATGGTTTGGCACTCGCCACTTAGGCCCGTAGCTTTAAAGAACTTGAAGTGACCCTTAGATCTGACCTTAAGCTCATGGAGAAATACTTCCAAAAGCTGAGACCAAATCCAAGCAAATCGGTAGTCTCTACTTTCCACTTTGACAATAGAATTGCACAAAACACTCATAACTGTCAAGTTACATGGTGAAACTGTGCATTACAACCCAAAGCCAACATATTTCAGTGGCATTCTTGACTGCACACTGACCTTTCATGACCACCTCAAGCAAGTAGCCTTGAAAGCAAAAACTCATGTCAACATTATTTAAAAGTTAATGGGAACAAGCTGGGGATCAACTGTCCTGGTTCTAGGAACATTGGCCTTGGCCCTTGTGTACTCAGTTGCAGAGTATTGTGCCCTGGTGTGGAAAAAAAGCTGCTATACTCAGCAAATGGAGAGGCAGCTGAATCAGACCATGCAAATCATCACGGAAACTTTAAAATCAACACCTCTACTGTGGCTTTCTGTATTAACAAACATCGAACCTCCAGCTGTCCGTTGAGATATAGCCACAGCACAAGAACTTAAATGTGCCGAAGACTATGCAGAACCTCCCATCTGTCAAGTTATGGATAACATACCCCCATCACGCCTGAAATCGTGAAAGCTACTATGGACCACACTTGATCACTTCTAGTCTCTGGATCTGGCAAGGGAATGTTAAAGTGTCTGGACCTCATCTGCTGTTCCAAACAAGCACATTATTACTGAACCAACAAATGCCTCCTCGGTTTCGACCTGCCACACAGACTTGGGACCACAGTGACCCACATCCAAAGAAATAGTGGAAGATACGGCTACTTGATGCACAAGTGGAAAATCAAAGACTCTGTTTCATGTGACTGCAGTGAGACCATCCAAACCAATGAACACATCAGAACACAGTGTCCCAAATATGGATTCAAAGATGAATTGGATGATATCCACAGTGTCACAGAGGAGGCCTGGAAATGGCTTATGGACCTACAACTGCATCTATAAAATGTTGCTCTGCAGATGTCATACATGCCTGCGAGAGAGACTGGAAATGCCTCACCTGATATATCCTAGGACCACATTTGCCTATTTCACAGTTGTATCACATTCACGGCACATAGTCATCCTGTGATCAACTAACACAACCAGGTATCTCTCCTCCCCTGTCATTTTCAACTGATGAGTCCCCAGTTTATAGCAGAAATTCTTATTATTAGTTCTTATGCTCATGACCTTGCACTTTTAAATTTCATCTCATTTCTATTACTCCAGGTCCTCAGTGTCATCCAATTCTTCCTGTATAAAATTCCATTCCTCCTGTGTATTGACAATGCCTCCCAACTTCATGTCATCAGTAAATTTTACTAGCACCTTCCTACTTTTTGTGCCAAAGTCATAAGTCCCAAGTCTGATCCTTTAGGAACTCCGCTAGTAACCTCCCTTCAGCCCAGTTGTTCTTCTTTCAGCACAACCATTTGTCTTCTCACCTTTTGCCGGTTTCTTAACCTCCTTACAGTTCTTACCCTAATCCTCATCTTCTTCATCTGAATTACTAATTTCCTGTGTGTCTGAAATGCCTTACTGAAGGCCAGATAGATTAGATCTACTTCATCTTCCTTATTTTAAAAAAGCAGTTATTTTATCAAAGAAAAGGTATTCATGCTTGTATTAGAGGGGTAGCTGTGTTAGTCTGGATCTGTAAAAAGCAACAGAGAGTCCTGTGGCACCTTTAAGACTAACAGATGTATCGAAGCATAAGCTTTCGTGGGTGAATGCCCACTTTGTCAGATGCATGTAATGGAAATTTCCAGAGGCAGGTATAAATATGCAGGCAAGAATCAGTCTGGAGATAACAAGGTTAGTTCAGTCAGGGAGGGTGAGGTCCTCTGCTAGCAGTTGAGGTGTGAACACCAAGGGAGGAGAAACTGCTTTTGTAGTTGGGTAGCCATTCACAGTCTTTGTTCAATCCTGATCTGATGGTGTCAAATTTGTAAATGAACTGAAGCTCAGCTGTTTCTCTTTGGAGTCTGGTCCTGAAGTTTTTTTGCTTTTTTGGTGTTGCTACATCATATCTACACCAGCAACACCATCACAGGACCTAACCAGATCAGCTAGAACATCACCGGTTCATTCACCTGCACGTCCACCAATGTTATATATGCCATCATGTGCCAGCAATGCCCCTCTGCTGTGTACATTGGCCAAACTGGACAGTCACTACGTAAAAGGATAAATGGACACAAGTCAGATATTAGCAATGGCAATATACAAAAACCTGTAGGAGAACACTTCAACCTCCCTGGCCACACAATAGCAGATGTAAAGGTAGCCATCTTACAGCAAAAAAACTTCAGGACCAGACTGCAAAGAGAAACAGCTGAGCTTCAGTTCATTTGCAAATTTGACACCATCAGATCAGGATTAAACAAAGACTGTGAATGGCTTGCCAACTACAAAAGCAGTTTCTCCTCCCTTGGTGTTCACACCTCAACTGCTAGCAGAGGACCTCACCCTCCCTGATTGAACTAACCTCGTTATCTCCAGACTGATTCTTGCCTGCATATTTATACCTGCCTCTGGAAATTTCCATTACATGCGTCTGACGAAGTGGGCATTCACCCATGAAAGCTTATGCTCCAATACATCTGTTAGTCTTAAAGGTGCCACAGGACTCTCTGTTGCTTTTTACATGCTTGTATTGTATGTGATATGGGAGTGATTCACTCTGTGAACTGTTCTGAGAATATATTGGAGTGGTTTTGCTCAGTTATTTTTTCGTTGCTTTATGTATGCACCTATAGGGTCTTTGGGTAAGTGCGGTGATAAATTAAAACTGATTAGACTACAAAGCCTCTTCCCCAGTCTGGCCACTATGCCACTCCACATAACTTCCAATTCAAAGTAGCAATATTAATACAAATAAATCTTCAAATACTAATTTAAAAATATTTGACTGGTCTGTTAATAAAGCAGATAACCCTTCTGAGGCCATCAGTTTGAAGGAAAGTTTTAGTCTTCCAAGCGCAAGAATGATATAATGAAGAAGATGGGCAGATTTGATAAGTGCTATGTTTCCTGGCCCACTAACTCTCCTGCTTTAGATTGACGACCAGATTCTCTTCTCAGGTACATCAGTCTTATGCTGATGTAATTCCACCCAAATCAATGGAGTTACAGCCAACACAGAAGTGGAGTATCTATCCCCAAGAGCCACTCCATTTGGAGTGGAGAAGGGGCGAACAATGTGTGACCGGGGTCCTAGTGGGGAGCCAGCTGTGGTCACTCAATTAGGGTGAACTGCAAAGAATGGGGCAGCCAAACCCCCAAAAGCTGGTGGATATTCCAATACTTAGATTTACCAAGCCAGCATAGAACAGTTTCTTTATTACCTTACTGGTTACTCAGAAGTCCAAACAACACAGTTCCCTTAAAGTGATCCAGCCTCGGGCCTCCATCCAGCGACCCACGTCAAATATGATGAAAATTTCTGTAAATCTTATTTCATCATATAAAAGAAAAGGTTCTACCAATCCCAAAGGATCAGACACATTACCTCCCAGGTTAATGAATGTTTCAGATCTTACCCAAATACATGCCACAGCCAATTCTTATTAACTAAACTAAAATTTATTAAAAAACAAGAGAGAGAGAGTATGGTTAAAAGGTCAATATACATACAGACATGAGTTCAATTCATTTAGGTGCAGATTCACAGCAGAGATGGTGAGCTTCGTAGTTGCAAAGAATTCTTTCAGAAATAAGAACAGGAGTACTTGTGGCACCTTAGAAACTAGTCTCTAAGGTGCCACAAGTACTCCCGTTCTTTTCGCGGATACAGACTAACACGGCTGCTACTCTGAAACCTTTCAGAAATAGTTCTTAGTTTATAGTCCAATGTCCAAATATCACATTCAGGGCATATCAGCATAACTGGGACCTCAATCTTGCGACTCAAACTTCCCCTGAAGAAGCTTAAGCAGATCTGAGATGACAGAATCGGGACCGAAGGATCTTTTGTACAATTTCATGTCTTTTGACAAGTTGGAATTGCTCAAGGAATAAAAGGTAATTAGGATGACTTTGAAGGAGGTACTTAACTATACGAATTAACATAAGGCCATTTGCTTTTTCCTTCACCATTCACAGTACATTTCAAAGAGAGATGTTCACAATTCATTTAAATGATATCAGAATACTGCATAGACAGGGACTGTTGATTACATTGTGGACCCTACTCATACATATGTAAATACACAAAAACACAAACATTATCTCCCTACATGTCTTTTGAGGGTTATTTATTTTGCAGGATGTTTAACCCTTTCTAGCCATGCGTCACACAATGAATTCCTGAGATGTTAGACTGTAGGACTGCTCTCAGCTCAGACCTTCCCACCTTAAAACCAGATCCTGAAGACTTTACACAAGCAAAGCTCCACAAAAACAACAAGGAGTCCGGTGACACCTTAAAGACTAACAGATTTATTTGGGGTAAAAAACCTCACTTCTTCAGATGCAGTGACTTCAAAGGAGCTCTGCCTGTATTAGAACTTCCAGATCAGACCCTTATCTGTCACCTGCTGCTCTATGAGATTTTCAGGACTGTTTGAGCCCAGCTTTCAGTTGTCATCTTGTCCTCTTTATGGCAGTTCCTCTTCAATAAGCCAATACTTTTATGTACGGAACTTTTGAAATCAATGCTACAGAGTCAGTGTAACAAGAATCAAAATGAGCTCTTAGCTTTGATAAATCTGCTAGATGAGATTTTTTTTTATTTCTTTGCAGCAGTGTCAGTTCAACAGGCATTGAAAGCCCATATAGTTCAAAGGCTCCAAGTACAAGAGTGGCCATAGCAAATGCACAAACAAGAAATGCAGGTGGCTGGGGCTAGGTTCAAACATCCCTTCTTTTCCCTCCCCAGTTCTTGGTGCACCACAGAGGATGATTAAACAGGGAAATTCAGAGCTACCAGAGGAGTGAATTTTAAGTCTTAAGCCTCAAGCCACTCCTGTTCGTAAATATTGACTGGTGGACACAGATCCTGTTCTTAGCAAAGTTCATCTCTCTGGAGTGTTCTAAATCAGGGATGTCAGACACGGGCCATACCTGGCCACGGCTGAAATGTAATCTCTCTTGTTTAGAAGGAAAAACAAGTGTCCCAAACTGGTACCATTTTCAGCAATTTGACTCAGCTTAAAAAGGGATATGAACAAGTGACAAGTAGGAAGCTTCATTTCTAGTCTTTTTCTTCTTCTTCCTCTTCCTCCTTTTTTTAAAGAGCAGATAAACAACTCTTTAAACAAACACTCAGACTGAGGCTAGATTAGCGGTTGACTGTCTGGGGGCATGGCATTTCTTCCAAGCCCATTACCCCAGTTTTGGGATGCACATTGTGTCCTACAGGATTGCTAAATAAAAGGCATTTCATCCTTTCTTTGAGTGGTGTCTGCAACAACAATGTTATAATCTGCAAAATTTTGTGGGATAAGGGTTGTAATTTATAGGGCTACATTTTGCCCTAGTATACCAGTGCAACTGGTGGTGTCAATGGAATTGCATGCCAGTAAATGAGGTCCTGTCTATCCTGGGGATACTTATACTCTTACAGCTATCCTGATATAGGTGCAATCCCTCCGTGCCAATGCAGTGCACTGGTGTAAGCCCTGTTTCACCTCCAGTACAGCATTTCTGCACTGGTGGTTTATACTGGTGTAACTACATACATGTAGCTACATCAATACAAATGCAAAAGTGCAAATTGAATCAAGCCCACAAAAGTTTCTCTTAGGAATCAATGACCCCTCTGTACAAAGTTTAAAAATAAACGCTCGAGTGTAAATGTGCCTTTCCAGTGTAAATGTGCCTAAGATTGAGGGGTTTTAATTTAAATAGTGGGTCCATCATCACAACTGTGTTTTTTCCATGACTACTGTCATTGATTTCTTTTCTAACTTGATATATTTTAGTTCTTAATGCCAGTTGATTCAGAAGTGCTGTGCATTCTAGGAGCTGGTGTTCAAGCCTATAGCCATTATGAGGTCTTCACAGAGCAGTTCTCATTTAAAGAGGTAAGCCAAGGAATGCATCTCAAAGGAGAAGATTTATTTTTCTCAATTATTTTTTCAGTAACACCAATAACAAATAACGTATATAATAACCAATAAAGTTGTATCTAATGGCTTCAGCAAATTTCAACAAAATGTCTCTAGACATTGCACTTCTATAGCCTTTCCTCCTCCCATCTCAAAGCATTTTAATAACACATGCTGGAAACAAAGTCAAGTTTCAGACTTACTCTTTTCTCTATTTGAAAAAATCCTACTGTATATAAGTTTCTTGGACAAGCTTCCTGCAGCCTCGATCAGTTCAGATTTTCTATTTAAAATGTATTTTATACATATAAAGATGCCATGAACTGTTATACTAGCATTGCAAGATAATCATGAAGATGTACTAGCCCAGACACAAAATCTACTCACCTGTTCTTTGCCAGGATAAGTAATGATAACGAAGAAAACTTTTTGCAAGGACGGGTTACTCATATTATATAATCTCTACATGCTTTCCATGTTGCTTTTGCAGGTCAGGATATGGAATCGCACTAAGGAGAATGCTGTGAAGTTTGCTCGCTCAGTTAAGGGTCCACCAGTGCAGGTTTGCTCCTCTGCTCAGGAGGCTGCCACCGGAGCTGATGTGATTATAACAGTCACCATGGCAACAACACCAATTTTATTTGGCGAGTGGATAAAACCAGGTGCCCATATCAACGGTATGCCAGACTCTCATTGATTAGGGGGGTTTCTCTGCTATTATTTGTATTATTATTTTATTTAGCTCTGATGTGCTCAATGCTGTGCTGTATAATACTCACAAAGACAGTTTCTGCCCAGAATGGTCTAGATTTCTCAGAATAATCACTTCTCCTCTTTGAGCATGGTCCTGCAGGGTGTCTGTATTCAAAGCTATTAGGGATTCTGCTGTTGTATGTTTGAGCAGCAGGTAATCTCATCTTTGCTATGGTAGCCAACAAGGTGTGGCCTTGATGTCCATTTGGTCTTAGACTTAAACAACACCCTGGAAACATGTTCCCACAGTGATTTTTTAGTAGCACTTCTGTTTCCCTGATATTTATCATCTTTTCTACTGCCCTGTTTTGCAAACTCCTTTATTTCTTCTTTTGGGGCTGACTCCCTTTGATCTCAGTGGGAGTTTTGCCTGAGTTATGAACCGTGTAAAAATTGAGAGAACCTCAGGGTTTGGTCCCTTCGCTGTGTTCTTTTTTTAAATTGTGTTTTCTGGTGATGTTGTTGCTGCCCTAGCATACAGAGTCCCTGAGCTCCTTGGCATTTATTTACGTTATTTAATTTGGAGCTGGTTCAGATGACCTTGTGCACTTTCCAAGTGGTCTGGTAATGAGACAAAGGCAACTTGTAAGAGGGAACAATTTAAAGGAAGTTCCCACATTTCAAAAGCACCCCACCAATTTTTCAAACTCAGTTTAATTCTTTGCTGGTGACATTGTTATCTGTGCTGTCTCACAGCATGAAGGCCATGCGTACAACCAGAATCAATTAGTGTCTTCATTTGCTGAGGCAACACATACACAAAGACCACCTCTCCTGGTTTTTTCCCCAGAGGCATTCGTACTGCATGAGTAGGCATTCAGACAACACTGGAGTTCTCACATCCCTACTGTCTGTAAAGTTGTATAGAAGAATTGTTTTACCGTTCAGTTCAATATTATTTGTGTTTCTCTGTACAAAAGAAGTTGCTAATACTAGGAGTTTTACATTTTTTTTTTTTTTTAATGATAAGCCTTTGTTCACAAAACTGTTTCGGTAAGTAAAGATCTGTAAATGGGCTCCAATTGTACTGCTTACAAAGTCATAAGAAAAGAATGGAAACTGCAGGTTTAGAAATCCCAGATAATAATGTTCAGTCGTCGGTCTGCACATACAGTTCCCTGCAGCAAACTGCTTCTTTGGTTCTGATCTGATAAGGATAAGTGAGGGATCTTTTAGTTGCATTTCTCTCTACAGGCACGTAACATCAAGACAGTCTGGATCAAAAACACTTAATAAAAAAGAATTATGAAATTCAAGGCTTTTGCAAATGAATTGAGGAGAGGGAAGTGGAGAGGGGCAAGAGATAATAGGAAAAGGGGGGTGATTGGGTCATTTATCTACATCCTGCTGAGGAGGATGTTACAATCACAACATCCAGCAGGGCTTTGTTAGGAGCAGCAGGAAGAGGGTGAAGAACAGAAGAAGGGGCTGATAAGAGAGGATATGATAGAGCAGCATAGCGCCAGCCTACCAAACTATAGTACAGTGTGGTTGTTTGTTAGTTAAACAACTTTATAAATACGCTTGTTATTCGAGAAAGGGTTGGACTTGGCAGCCTTTGAGACTGAAGGTCTGTGATTTATGATGAAAAGCACTGTATGAGAACTAAGGACTTTTATTATCTGTAGCAGAGATACAGCGTAGGCAGTGACAGGGTGAGCTTCCCTGTGTTGCCTTGCCTTGTCAGACTTGCCCTAAAGGGCGAAAGGGTAGTTGTTGTACATCCGTCCTTGGTGCTAACCAAGCACTTGGCTTGTCTGGTTTTGTATTAGTTTGTTAATGTCTTTGACTGGTGTGAGATGGGCGGGCGGACACTGTGAGAATGGGAACAAGTTGGACATGGATAAAACTCTTAGGCCAAACTGGGGAATGCACCCGTGTAACAAATAACATATTTTGCTCAAGGAGCTTGAGGTTTATTGGCAGATATTTCACTGTGATTACTTTGTAAATGCTATGCAGAGCACTACCTCCCTTTCTCTGCCTCCACTATGACCTCTCCTCTTTGGCTAAGCCTTCCAGAGGAGTAGAGATGTAAGCAAGAGGGCCAAACCTAAGAGGAAAAGGCTGTCTAACGACAAATGCTAACAAAGAATCCTGCTCCCCTTGTGAGTTCACCCTGCCGTTGTGGATTTGCTCCCACATGAGTTTTATTTTACTGCTAGCAGCCTGATTCTACAAGGCAGGAGTGGCCAACCTGAGCCTGAGAAGGAGCCAGAATTTACCAATGTACATTGCCAAAGAGCCACAGTAATACATCAGCCCTTCCCCCACCACCTCCTGCCCGCCGATCAGCACCTCCCCCTCCCTCTTGCCCGACGTGATCAGCTGTTTCGCAATGTACAGGAGGCTCTGGGATGGAGAGGGGAGGAGCAAGGGTGCAGCAGGCTCAGAGGAAGGGGCAGGAGCCTTGGGGTAAGAGGTGGAGTCGGGGCAGGGCCTGCGGTTGAGCAGTGGAAAGTTGGCACCTGTAGCTCCAGCCCCGGAGTCAGCACCTATGCAAGGAGCCGCATATTAATTTCTGAAGAGCCTCATGCGGCTCCGGAGCCACAGGTTGGCCACCCCTACTACGAGGGAACTCATTGATTTTGGTGGTCCTGGTCGTGATGTCACTGAATACAAGGATTTCAGTGGGAGCAGGATTAGACCTAATGAGGGCTGAGGGTGCTCAGCAGGCGTAACAGGAACAGCACTTTGGAGGATTGGACCCTAAGGGCTCAATCCTGCTTTGACATCAATGGGAGTAGAAGGTGCTCAGCGGGATCAAGCCCTAGATGCATAATGTACTGCTCAGTCTGAATGGAGAGAAGCCCAGGACTTCCCCTAGTCAATCAGGCCGCTGCTGTTTTGTATCAGTGAAATTGTCCTCAAGGTTAATTTCAGGCTGTTTGTGCATAAGTACGACACTGCTGTGGAAAGACATTATTCACCTCTGTTGAACAAGAAATGTTTCTGTTAAATCCATTTTAAATATTTCTCTCTGAAGTTAATCACTTTTATCTTTTAGCCGTTGGGGCAAGCAGACCAGACTGGAGAGAGCTGGATGATGAAGTGATGAAGAATTCTGTCCTATATGTGGATTCTCGAGAGGCGGCTCTGAATGAATCAGGAGATGTTATATTATCAAGGGTAAGTCTTTCTTAAATGCTAGAGCGTCTCCCCTCGAATGCTACTTTTGCATTGCGCCATTTCTCATTGCTTTCAGATCCATCCTTTATTAGATCTACACTTAAAAATGTGTAATGTTTCAAAAATTATTCCAAATCTTTCACTTTCATCCCAGAAGATCCCAAAGCAATTTATACATGATGGGACAAATTCTGCTCTGTTGCACCTATGTATCCCCGTGATACACGTTTCAGTATAATTAAATTGGAACTGCCTCTGATGTGTGGAGGCCAGCAGCCAAACAGATGGCTGTCACACTGCACAAAACTGAGGAGAGGGGACCGTTTGTCATGCCCTTACACAAAGTGCCATAGGATTTTTTTTAATGTCCACACATAGCAGACAGGGCTTTCATTTTTAAGGGTTCATCTGCGAAACCAACAAACTGTAAACTACATGAAAGTCAATTTATCTTTGTCAGCAAGGTAACAGGTCGATCATTTTGAGTAATGAAATTCAGGCAGATATTTTTCTCTGAAAGCCATGTTATTCTTCTGGAATTTCTGTCTAGTTTCTATATTATTTGACCTAACAATGATCTGTTTTCCCAGTAACAGAATCTTTCCAATTTTTTGTCTTCTCTTTCTTTTAAAATCACTCAAAAAACAGTTTATTTCTCTTGATGACTGTCATGGATATCAAGCCTAAATGTGCATTTGTTTCACAGGCAGAGATTTTTGCTGAGCTGGGGGAGGTAGTGAAAGGGACAAAACCAGCCTTGCGTGAGAAAACAACAGTGTTCAAATCACTGGGTAAGAATAACCCCCTCCTATGTGTAAATCTGATGAGGAACAATGCCTTGTTATTTATTAAGTCCCTCTTGCATGGGAAAGTTGATGATCTTCAAAGCTGCTGTCCCAACACACTCTACAGAGGACAGTAGCTACAATATAAGATGTGTATTTTCCCTCCTTTCTCAATGTAGCAAGACTCATAAAATCTAAATTGAAAGGAAAGCAAACATGATAGAAAAATACATTGTCCATTTTTTTTAAGTTCCATTTACTCAACTCATGACTACATTGTTTACTAACATAGCTCCAACCTGAATGTCCTACTCTGATGCCCCTGAAGTCTGTTTGACTTGAAGGTGATGTGACAAAGAAGTACGGTATTGGAAGTGATCAGAAGACTGGATTACCATGGTCGAAGTTGAATGACCTGTTAGCAAGGATCCATTGGTTCCAGTTGTGGTAGCTTTTACAGCATGGATACATGTCCAATGGGAATTGGATTGAAACCAATAAACTCCTTTTACACACTGCACCTAACAGCTATCTGATGGTGATAACTTCTTGTCATTACCAGACTGGTGTCCTAGATTGTGGTGTGAAAGATTCTCTAATCCATTGTCTAGTCATTCTGTTTCCCTGTGAAGTTAAATTATTTCATTCAACCGAAGTATTGGTTGTAGGTGATTTTAATTCTGTTGTATATTTCAGGGATGGCAATTGAAGACACTGTGGCAGCAAAATTCGTTTATGATTCCTGGTCAGCCGGTAACTAAAACGAAGAGCCTGCAATACTAAGAAGGACAAAATAATATAAAGAAAATGGTTCACGCTTAGTTTTCTTGTACCATTTCTTTATAAGAAAAGGAAGTAATTCCATAGGGAATATAGTACTTTATAACTTTCAATAGCCAATATTAAAATTACAACATATACAGCATTTACTTTTATTCTTTAATGTCAGACATCTAATGTTTGTAAAGTTACTAACAAATGTATTTCTGTGCATTTTGATATCCTCTGGAATAAACCACTTTTGCTCACTAATGTAACAGCTAGCAGAAAAACTGTGTGCAGATTTCATGTCTGTGGAGAGCTAATTGGTATGGTGGTAAAATGCACTAGTGTGGAGACTGCAGTTTAAATCTGGTATCATGTCACTAGTGATAGCTGTCTCCATTTAAATCCCAGTGGGACAGTTCTCAGCATGATGAAACCACCATCATTCAGACATCTATCCATCTGGTCTCTAGAAAGGTCTGAATCTGGAATGCTAGAAATGCTGTAGGTTACAGTTAGAGTGTGTTAATCAAAAAGGGTAAATAGTTAATCATGTTCAGTGCCTTGCTATGCTGGGACTTAGTATTATCAGTTTATGATGGTCATGAGATTCACCCAAAACTTCAGCGTTAAACAGTTTTTTCTTTAAAAATAAATAAATAATATTGCACATATTCTATTGGGAGATTTCCTGATTTAATATGTTCATAAATTCTCTACTAAGGCTCTCTTAGGTTAGAGCCATGCTGACTTATTCCAATGGGATAAACTTCTTCCCAGTGTGAAGACAAACCTTTTCAATGCTGAGGTTTGTTTGTGTCTTGAGGAGGAGAGTGGACTGGTAATCATGCTTTTAGCCATATGAGCATTGCTTTAAAGGAGCCTCTCTTTCTTTCTTTAAAGGAGCCAGGGGTGACATGCTAGGTAAGGAAAAGTTCCTGTTCTATGCTAACAACCCAACTGTTTTGCATAGACTGCACATCTGTTAATAGATGGCTCTTGCTTTGGGAAAGAGTACCAAGTTTGGGGCTGCATTTGTGCCTTATAAAATTGTTTGCATCTACATTTTATACCATGCAGGTAATTAAATATTTCTTCATTCCATGGAAACGTATATAGCACAGTCATTTGTAATGCTGCTAGTACAGTATAGAGAAGCAATAGACAGGAGGTACAGTAGAATTTAGTGTTAAATCTCTAGGTGGTGCATGAGTAAATTTATAAAGAGAATTATGGGCAAAAGTCACAGGTGACATAATGTGTGTGTAAGTTACAAGCCTTTTGTAAACTAGTCAGAAAATAGGAGTAAATTGCATAGTAGTATAATTTGCATAGATTTAGCATTGAGGGGTAACAAACCCTTAAATCTTTTGGGTCAAACGATGCTCTCTTTTACATGGGTGCAAAATCCAGAGTAACTCCGTTGACTTTCCAGTGGCATAAGTGAATGAAGAATTTGTCCTCCTAACCTTTGCATTTTTAAATTGTAATTATGTGACCTTAAAAATTCTGTTATGAAAAAAATCACATTTAATGTACTGAATATTTTGAAATGTGTGCATTTATTTAGCAGTGACGGACTAATGACACTGGGATGATCCAAGTGTAACATGGGCTGCCAGAGCGAGTTTCCACACATAACTCTGGCAAAACAGCAATACCATCTAGCAAAACTGCTATCCTAGTGCTATGCCTCTCTTGAACAAGGATTGCAGTTCTGGCCAGACTGAGTAACGTTTTGAGGTGGGACACCAATGGGGAGTGAAATGAGAACACCAAATGGTTCATTTCCACATGTGAAATAAGCCAGCCTTTGTGTTTCGTTCTCTGAAGGTGGAACAGTTTATGCACTAACTCACTGCCCAGTGATTTATATTGATGTTTGAAAATAAAAAACGAGATGGCTCCAATCAAAGGACTTGATCCTGGCCACCTTGAACTTCCATTGGCTTCAGTGGGAAAAGCAGGTGCTCAGAGCCATGCTCCAAAACTCCACAACTGGACATTTCTAAACTTTTGGGAAGTTTTGGATTGAACTCTGGATCCAGTTTTCATAAACCAAACTAAATACTCAGATCCAAATGCCCCTCAACTTTGTAAACATTCAGAGCTGAATCTGAACATTACAGCTTGCTCCCATCTCTAATAAAAATAATTCTTGGTCATTTTCCATTTGGGGATTATGTTAAATAGTTGCCAAAATGTGGCTGTTATCAAGGCGTTGTATCAGATGGTTCACTTTCTGACTTGACATTTCTCTCTGTATTTTCTATTAGCATTTCCAATACCAGACTGAGAGGGCCATTTAATTGTAGCAAAATTGCAGCATGTTCAGATGGGATTTCCAAAGGAGCCTAGGAACGTTAAGTACCCAGTCCCACTGAACTTTAGGGGGAGTTGTATGCCTTGCTCCCTTAGCTTCCTTTGAAAATTCCAGCCTAGATCTATATATTTTTCTTCTTTCACAAATCCCAGAGGTACAACCTCAGGATGAGTATCATGTGCAACAGACATGTAAGTTAAAATGAAGGGGAAACTATTTTATTTTTAGTAATCTTTCATTTTATTGTCCATTATTTGTTAAAACTCTCTTTATAAACAACTTTTTCTGTCTAATTTGTGCTGCATCTTCCTGTGATTTTTAGCACTGCAAGTATCAACATGGCTGTCCCTTTTAGTAAATTACTTGCTGAGGGAAAAGAAAACAAGCCAACTCTGCCTCACGCTTGAGACTGGACTTTCCAGTCTCTGGTAATGCAGCACATTTTGTATTCACTGTGCTGCCTGTCCAGTTTAGACTGTAAGCTCCGTGGGGAAGTGGCCACTGCTTCTGTATGCTATACAGGGCTGAGCACACCAGTGGGGCTCAACAAATAATTATGCGGGCATAGATTTGACTGGATGCTTTTACATACAGTGTATAAAATCCTTCTAGATGAAAGGCACCGAATAAATGTAGGCCATTATTACTAATGGGTCGAATTTTGGGCCAACTACATAGACTTGTGAATGGGCAGAGGGTTTGTTTAAACAAGGAGAGCTGCTTATGAAAGAGCTTCAGGAAATGACACTGCAGATTTCATAAATGAAGAACTAAAATGCATCCCTCCCAATTGTAGCATATTAACAGGTGGCCAGAGGGCTGTTCTACAGTAGGAGCCGCTTATTAGAGATGTTGTTCTTCAAGGGAATTGCTTCAAGAAATGTTTTTTTGTTTTGTTTATCATTTAAAATGAAGGAACTTTATCATGTGCATCCAGGCAGTCAGCCTCCACATAGGATTTTGCTGTCTGCACCATTAGGAGGTGTCGCTGAGTCTCAAAGTTGGTATCAATAAAGTAGAAAGTGGAAACACAAAGGGTCAGATTTTAAAAGGTAATTATGTGCCAAAAGATGCAGATAAATGATTCTGAAAATTCCATTAAGTGACTATCTGCATCTTTAGGTGAGTCTGCATACCTTTGAAACTTTGGCACAAAGAGCCATTTTATACCTATTATATTGTACTCTGGTCCAATTTCTTGTTGGCTATATTTTAACTGTACAACACAGTACAGAGATTGGTTATTTATTTCTACTAAGACTCCAGTCAAAACAGGCAACAAATCAGCATAGAATTACCTATGACTGTTCTGTGGTAAAGGTTTCCATGTAGCAGTTCCATCTTTAGTGGCTTCATTCACAGATGGGTTGATGATGTGGTGAGAGAGTCCTAAATAAACACTGGTAATGTGTGGTGTGAGCCAGGGGTGAGGGGAGATTGCAAATTGTAATTGGATTCCAGCCATATGGAAAAGTCAATGCAGGTGGCATTTAGCAGGTAAATAAGGAACGGGAGGGTAATCATGGGCCCAGTCCAACAGTCTGTACTCTAACCCACTGAGTTAGACAAAACCCACTGAGTTTTTAAATCAATTTGCCTGACCAAGGATGACAGGATTTGGCCCTTCGCGAGCCTCTTGTCAAAGGGCTCAGCTAGGACGCCTTCAAGCACATAAATATTTTCAAGATCCTTTTTCTTTCTTTCTTAAACATTTAATTAATTATCTACTGGGGGGCTTTATGTGGAAAAAAATGCTGTCTGGTTTAATTAATGTTCTGAGCCCTGCAGCTATTGTAAGTTTCACCGCATGTGACTCCAGAACAACTGCCTAATAGAAAGAAGTGTTGACGCATCAATACATTGCCTTTGGTGGAGGAAAATGAACAGTGTAAAGTCTGGTTGAGGCAAGAAGATATGTTGTTTCAACAAACTAAGGAACAGGAGGAAGGAGCAAAAAGAGTGGATCATGAAAAGTGTTAAATAGATTTAAAAACTGGTGCCAGTGTCCACAAAGGCAATGTAAAACTGGATTCAAAAAAGAATTAGACAAGTTCATGGATAGGTCCATGAGTGGCTATTAGCCAAGATTACCAGGGATGCAACTCCATGCTCTGGATGTCCCTAATTCTCTTGACTACCAGAAACTGGGACTGGATGACGGGACGGATCACCTGATCATTGCCCAGTTCTGTTCATTCCCTATGAAGCATCTGGCATTGGCCACTGTCAGAAAGCAGGATACTGGACTAGATGAACCATTGGTCTGAGCTAGTATGGCTGTTCTTAATGTACTTTCTATGATCACAGCTGAGCAACAGCACAAATCCTGTATCTACAGGCGGAGATTTTCAAAGTCACCTAGGGGATTTAGAGGCCCAGCTCCCATTAATGAGTAATGCAGCCCCTAAGTACTTTATTTGTCTTTGAAAATCTACCAGACTGTGGCAGCTCCAGCAAAGTCATTGGGTCATAGAATCATAGAAGATTAGGGTTGGAAGAAGCCTCAGGAGGTCATCTAGTCCAACCCCCTGCTCAAAGCAGGACCAACACCACTAAATCATCCCAGCCAGGGCTTTGTCAAGCCGGGCCTTAAAAACCTCTAAGGATGGAGATTCCACCACCTCCCTAGGTAACCCATTCCAGTGCTTCACCACCCTCCTAGTATAATAGTGTTTCCTAATATCCAACCTCCCCAACTGCAACTTGAGACCATTGCTCCTTGTTCTGTCATCTGTCACCACTGAGAACAGCCGAGCTTCATCCTCTTTGGAACCCCCCTTCAGATAGTTGAAGGCTGCTATCAAATCCCCCCCTCACTCTTCTCTTCTGCAGACTAAACAAGCCCAGTTCCCTCAGCCTCTCCTCGTAAGTCATGTGCCCCAGCCCCCGATCATTTTCATTGCCCTCCGCTGGACTCTCTCCAATTTGTCAACATCCTTTCAGTAGTGGGGGCCCCAAACTGGACGCAATACTCCAGATGTGGCCTCACCAGTGCCAAATAGAGGGGAATAATCACTTCCCTCAATCTGCTGGCAATGCTCCTACTAATGCAGCCCAATATGTCGTTAGCCTTATTGGCAACCAGGGCACACTGCTGACTCATACCCAACTTCTCATCCACTGTAATCCCCAGGTCCTTTTCTGCAGAACTGCTGCTTAGCCAGTTGGACTCCAGCCTGTAGCAGTGCATGGGATTCTTCCATCCTAAATGCAGGACTCTGCACTTGTCCTTGTTGAACCTCATCAGATTTCTTTTGGTCCAATCCTCCAATTTGTCTAGGTCACTCTGGACCCTACCCCTACCCTCCAGCATATCTACCTTTCCCCCCAGCTTAGGATCCAGTTGACTTCAGGTGCTAGGCCCAACAAGTGCAACATGGGTTAAGAGGAGGGATTAACTCCCATCACACAGCCCTGGCTCTCTAGGGGACACTGCACCAGCAGTCCTACAGAGGACCTAACCCTCTGAGCAATCACATCTTGTAGGCAAAGGTCTTCTCAATACAGTAACCGGGAAGAGGCTGGTCCTCCTTGGAACCAAGGCCCTCCTGCATAGTGCCATCACTTCGTTTTGAAGGCATGCTTCCCTAATGAGGGGAGACCAGCTGTGCATGCCTCCGTCTAGGACAGAGAGTTATTTTTCCTTCCTCCCCATGGGTATATACACCCTGTCCCATACAGCTTCCAAGTTGAGACCATGAGTGACCAGTAGAAAATACTGGGCAATAGTATTACAAATTCCATTAGAAATGCTAGGGTCCTAATTTCCGGAACTCTGCAGGGAAAATGCATTTCTTTAGAGACCAAGCAAAGGGCATGTCAAATGAAACTGATACAAATGCTAGCCAACCCCCCCCTGCCCCAATAAAAAACCACCCTACATCTTCTTGTAATTAAAGGCCCTTGTATCCATTATCGAACAATAACTTTTGCAACTAATGTGACGAGAAAGAGGAACATACAACTCAAACTAAATGTGGCTCTGTCAGGAGTTTCACTTTTTAAAAAAACTAAGGAACATCTCTTGAAGAGTGAGAAAACATGAATGACAAGAATATGAAACTTATTGGCACAAAGCGTTCATTCATTCATTCATTCAGAACCTATTATAGAGTCAATGGGATACAGTCAAAATCAAGATCAATCACTCAGTTCTCAAATAGTGTCAGTGAAGACACTTTGTAGCAATCTATTCAGATTCTGAAAATTATTTTATTTT